CTCATCTGGTGTGCCTTAACTGTTGCATGAGAAGAATGAACAGTCATCTCCTCTCCACCCGCTCTTACATTCATTTTGGACACCACTGTTATACCCATTCCTCACTTCGATCTTAACTAAGATAAAAGATTATACAGTCCTAGCTTATTTAGACATTCTTCATAAGGAAACTACTGCATACCTTTACATCATTCCTGACTCCTCTCATTATCACAGAATCACAGAATGTTAGGGGTTGGAAGTGACCTCGAAAGATCATCTAGTCCAATCCCCCTGCTGGAGCAGGACCCCCTAGAGTAGCTCACACAGGAACGCATCCAAATGGGTTTTGAATGTCTCCAGAGAAGGAGACTCCACAACCTCTCTGGGCAGCCTGTTAATATATATTAAGCCTGTTATACCTCCTGCATTTCACAGACATAAACTTTCCATCGAGAGAATTAAGCTCAAGGAGTCCAAACAAAAATAATTATAGATACAATGTGAACATCTGCAAGATGTATTGTGAACCATTTTTCAGATGACTCACAGAAGCTCAGAGACAATCGCTGTCTTTGCCACACAAATTTACCTAAACTCCAATCTTCAGTCTATCCTTCTTGAGATCAAATTTATTTCTAAACTACTTGCAATTTCTAATACATGAGTAATCACCAGAGATTATCAGTTTGTCTCTTAACGACATGCTTAAATACTAGACTTAATCCTTTTCAGCACTGAATAGCATACAGACATTATTTCAAAAAAGTAACTTTCTAAACACAAATATTTGGGGAATCCTACAAGCTAACAGTCCTGCATACGTAACACAAGTCTCTCTCCTTCTGTTTTGCATATATAAAAATGCAACGAGAGTCACTAAAAATCAGGTTACTAGATCCGATTCTTTCCTTTTACTGAAGCGTATCAGTAAAGCCTATAACTTAGATAACTTGCAAGTAAGAACTGAAAAGCATACGAGCACTATTCCTTTGTTTTCTGACACTAAAATGATGTAAATGATATAGTTCTCCAGGTTTCAAAAGAGTTCGGAAGACTTAAATTAAACCATGTGAGCAATAAAAGTGCCCATTGTTGTTTCATTGCCTTCAGAGTCTCCTTTTGTCACTTGAAGTATCTGTGTTACATATTTTTCCAGTAGATTTGTTATTAACTTAAGTATTGCTGCTAAATCTCACTAGTTTTAGATGGGACCAAACAACTCAGTCTGATACAGCTCTACTGTAAAGGACAGAAACAGGTTGTGAGGCTGCTCACCGACTGGCTCACCTCAAAAGAGCTCAGATTCTAATGACAACAGAGGTTCTATATCATGAAGGTTCCTGAAGCTTCACAACATAAAAGCTGCTGACTTAAGTTCTTGTATACTATGCAACTAAAACTCAATTTAAAAGAAGGATCACCTTTAAAGAAAGTTATGCACTGCTTATACAATGTCATGTCATTTTCAGATTTAAACACTCGTTTGCTCCTGACAGAGCAGGACAGATACAAGTGATAAAGAGTTCATGAAACAACATTAACAAGAATTATGTTTAAGCTCTAAGAGACTTTAAAGCAGTACAATAAAAACAAAGCATGCCCGGAACAAGCAGGCCCAATCTAAAGCAGCAGACAGTGTGATTTGTCTTAAATGATGAAGTCCTACTTCTCCCTTTAAATAAGTTGCTGCTGCTGGAGATTAGTCTAAGACATAGGCCTCAAACAACCTTACTAGACTTATTTCATGTACTTGGGAAGAAGCAAAGTAATTTGGTTGTGCCTGGAAGCGGAAGGACAAATCTACAACAAAGGAAAAGAAAAATTACTACAGTACATAGCACTGTTGATCAAAAAGCATGCAATAAATTCCCAATATATCATCATTCACATAAATAACGCTCATCTGCAACCCATTGTGGGTCCCGAAACAGCTCCATCCACAGCGGTTTCCTCACATTTCCTTTTCTGCTTGTTGTTTACTCTTTCCTGTCTGGCTTCTAGGTAAGTTCTGGGAAAAATAGGTGCATGGATGACTTCAAAGTGATGAGAATTTTGTGAGCAAGAAGAAAAATGGTAGCGTTAATAATTTTCATCCACTAAGTAAAAACCTGAAAAAATCCTAAGCCTCTTTGCCAATATTAAAAAACAGATGGCAAAACAAATCAATACAACAGCGTGGAAATTCCATAGAGGACAACAAAACTGTCAGGTGTCTGAAACAAGTAAGCTACTGAGAGTTTTACGTACAGGACTAATGGGTGCTGTGAACTTTTTAAAAGAAACAAAAACCCCCAATCTCCCAAATTTACTTCACTGTACAAATAGGAATTTTACTTCCATACATTAACTGGCACACAAAAGAATCTTTTGACAATGGTGTGAGGGCTCCCTCTTCTGACAACGCTTTCAACAAACTGTAAAACTGGTCAGCCTGTACATGTCAGGGTATGTTGTTTTTGAAAAAAATCCTAGTTCATATACATGTTTATTTCCCATTAGTTAAGAAAGCTGAAGTGTTTAATATTAAAGAAAAACAAACTTAAGTCCAAGAAACAGGTAATTATTGTTATTACAAGGAAATTGTTTTAATCTTACAAGTAGGATTAAAAAAATAATGCATATTTTGCCTGTGTAACCTGGAAGCAAACTACCTAAAATAGGAAACACAATGTAAGACTGATATGAAAGCATTTAACACATTAACAGATAAGAAAAGCTGTGTCCAGAATCAGAAGATAAAATAACAAATGGTACTATTTAATATAATTTACCAAGCACAGACCTATTGAAGTAATGTCTGTAAAACAGTGGCCTTAAATGAATCACTAAAATAGACACCATTAGATTTGTGGACCAAACTCCCTTCTAAATCAGATCACAGAATTCTTGGTTAAAAATGTATTGGAAGTCAATAGTGCCTAAGAATATAAATAGATATTTTAGGATCAGAGACTGTTTTAATCTTTTTCTTTTAATATACAACTGTGACTATTTCTTCTTCTGTTGAGCTGCTGCCCCCTCCCTTTGGGCCGATTACTCAAGCCAGCTTTCCTTTCAACCAAACCTCTCAACTTCTGCTGAGCAAACATTACCTAAACCAGTTCCCCTGTTCCCTCAACACCATAAGATAAACAAGAAAATACACAAATCATTAAGGTAAGCCCTAAATCATTAATTCCCAAATACAGTAACTTCAAAAGCTACACTTCACTACAGCTAGTGTATTTCCACAGAGGAGCTCAACTTTTCACTCAACAGCTGCTCACTTTAGCAGACTGCAGTTTGTGACAGCAGATGCCTTGTTAATTTACAGAACTTGAAGAGCTCACACATCCCTTCATAAAAAATATTTAAATGTCTCTCTGCAAAATGTATTCCCTCCCCATATTCTGTTCTCCACACTAAATTCAATATATGCAATAAACAAAGCCAGGGTAAGATTTTGCTTCCTTGGTCTACAAGGAACCACTGTCTTATACTGCTTCACTGTTTCTCATTTAATATACTGCTGCACACTCTTCACCTTGGTCTAAAATCCATGTTTTTAAGCAGCTCTCCTCCCTTCATCTGGGAACGTCATAAATAAATCATCATTCCTAGGTAACAGAAATTGCCTTTTCACCCTCAGTGTAAGATTGACGCCCAATACATAGTTTATTTCCCTATTGTTCCTCTCTTCTCCGGTGACAGCTGACATTACTTACTCTCCCTGGCTGACAGTCTCTGAATCTAATCACCCAGAGTTTCCAAACTCCCAGATGCACGATATGAACACATCAGGACAAGCTCAGTTGCATTTGTAGTGATACAATGCAGATCTGGTACATTCCTGAGACATATTTCTAAATAAATAGTTTGATTGTATTTTAAAACACTCTAATAATTTAAATATGTATTCTTTAATAACACAAGATTGAACAGTTGAACAGGCCAAGTTAATTTCTGCTAGTACAAGAGTCAACAGGAGAAAAGAAGCCAAATGTCCACAGCTTCTACCATCCAGCCATGATAGCTTAAAAAACAGAGAGATCCCGCAGATGAGAGGAGAGAGCACTAAATTGGTAAGATGGGTGAACACCGCAGCTCTTACGGCTAGCAAACGTGATACCACTGGTATTTTTTATAGGTACCTTCTGTCAGTAGTAACAATACTGTGTTGCATGCAAAACAAAACTAATGCTGTAAAACACTAGTCGCTATACGCAACTGAAAGACAGAAAGAACCACTCCTCTGACCACATGAATTAAGCAAACATCTATTTTAAATACACATAACTAAGAAAATTAACTTCAAATCAAATTTAGTTTCCACTGAACCTTAACACAGCTCAGCAAGCCCCTCCCAAGAGATAAGCACACGTGTTTTAAAAGCACTTGAGTTGATGGAAGAAAAATACATTAATTTCTATTGCATCTCATTTAATCTCCCATACTGGTTTAATTAGCACAGTTTCCAAACTGTGCATCAGTCCAGATGCAGCTAATAGCAGCCCAACTTGCATTTGCCACCTACTATTCATTTTTCTTTTCCATCCTCTTCCAGGAAGGTAACATGAAGTCATAAAAACCACTCCAAACTTTCAAAGGCTCTACAGTCTGAATTGATCATCTCAGCATATAGTAAAATCTTACTGCTAGACCAGCAAAGCACAGCCTATACAAACACCACAGTAATAGAACATCAAAGTTGTTTAAAAAATAGCAAAAAAGAGCAACACTTTTTAAAACAAGAAAGCATGACACTGGAAATATTAATACAATTTTATTAATGAATCTGGTTATCACAAGACAGATAAAAGGCATTTCTCACCCTATCTTCAGTAACCTTAGTTGTTACTGAAGCACCCAAATTGCCTGCTTAATAAATCAAAATTATTCTAGTTTATAAAGTATAATTATCACTTCAACTGAAGTTACCAGCCAAATAACTATCCACATAGATGATTACTGCAAAACTTTTACTCTTGAAAAGCGAAATAAACCCAAAAGTATTGAGACTATAGACAGAGTAGGTTTACCTTCTCACAGAAGTCAGTAAGAGCAGTGAAGTCCCATTTCTTGGAGTAAGCAACGTTGTATCTCAGTATGGCCTCCTA